ACTTAAAAAAAAAAAAAAAAATCAAGGAAAGGGCTGGATGTGGTGGCTCATGCCTGTAATCCCAGCACTTTGGGAGGCCAAGGTCGGTGTATCACTTGATGTTAGGAGTTCAAGACCAGCCTGGCCAACATTCCAAAACACCATCTCTACTAAAAATACAAAAATTAGCTGGGCGTGGTGGCAGATGCCTGTAGTCGCAGCTACTTTGGAGGCTGAGGCAGGAGAATCACTTGAACCCGGGAGGTAGGGGTTGCAGTGAGCTGAGATCATTCTGCTGCACTCTGGCCTGGGCACAGAGCGAGACTATCCCCACGCAAAAAAAAAAAAAGAGAGAATTTACTTCTCAGTTTCCCGATTGTGTTTATATAGACTATGTGGTTATATTGATAGGCGTTTTCCCTGTAGTTAGTAATTAGTTACAATAATAGGTGAATGTCAACATCTGTTATTTTAATTTTGAAAAGTATTTCTTTAAAATTTGCTATAAAGTCTGATTGATAGAAAAAGAAATCTGTACACTGGAAGCCCAAAGCTGCAGATGTATTAGGCCCTCCTAAGCACTGGGTCCAGGTATTCCTGGACCCAGCTAATTCTCTGAGTGAGTTAAGAACATTGTTGATCACTTTGTCATCAACTGGTCATCTCCAGGCAGCCATTTTTGTTTTATTTATTATTATTATTTTACTGTTGTGAAGTCTCTGGTTCACTGATGTTGGTGAGATTGGCCCAAGTCCCCTAAAGGAGTGGAAAATATTATTTTAAATATGTGTGTAGCTCTGTTATCTCAGACAGTTTGAGTTGCACAAAATGACCAAATAGGACCTTTTAATTTCCTTCCCATTTTACTTATGATTAATTTCCTTCTCATATTACTTAAGAAATAAAGAAGGCCGGGTGCAGTGGCCCACACCTGTAATCCCAGCACTTTGGGAGGCCAAGACAGGCGGATCACTTGAGGTCAGGAGTTTGAGACCAGCCTGGCCAACGTGGTGAAACCCTCTCTCTACTAAAAATAGGAAAATTAGCCAGATGCAGTGGCACATACCTGTAATCCCAGCTATTCGGGAGGCTGAGGCATAAGAATCACTTGAACTCAGGAGACGGAGGTTGCAGTGAGTGAGCTGAGATTGCACCACTGCACTCCAGCCTAGGTGACAGAGTGAGACTCTGTCTCGGGGGAAAAAAAGAAATCAAGAAAAGGAAAACATTTCACACATACCCCAGCATATGCACTGTCTTTGTTATTCCCTGTTCATTTCTGGTTGTAGTTTCTTTGCCTGTTTGTTTATCACATAGTTGTATTACAAAATGAGTTTTTTCCCCAAATAAAATACTTACTTAATGGTAGCATGATACTCCCTGTAATTTGATGTACCATAATTTCACTTTGTAAATTATGCTTTTTTTCTCTTTGACAGTATAACACTGCCTTTAAATTCAGATGTCCCCAAGGTATTTGCAGCATTGCCTGAGTTTTATGTAGAAGATGTTGCAGAATTTTTATTTTTTATTGTACAGTAAGTGCCTTTAATATTTTACATAGTTCTAATATGTTTTTATGCATAATATGTACACGATATTCTGAGCTATGTTGCAAACCTCCATTTCATGCCTGAAATTTTATGTAACTGTTTTAACTGAATGCTGCCTAGAGACTGGAAAAAATAAATCCAACAGTGGCACCAGTCCAATTCCAACAATATCTCAAAGACAGAGGCAGGATTAACAGTGCAGATAATGTGTTCTGTGAAAATTGAGTTGAATTTCTAATAGTTGAATATATGTCTCTGAGCAACAGAAGGAGCAAACAGTTTATAAATAGCTGAATGAACATCCCAAACCCAAAAATATCCACATCTATATTTTGTACTAAAATTTGTCTCTATTTGTAAAATTGGAGAATGCTTACAAAAAAATGGTTTGAATTTATAACTGATATTGTGGGTTTTTTGGTGTTTTTTTTTTTTTTTTTTTTTTTTTTTTTTTTTTTTTTTTTTTTTTTTTTTTTTTTTTTTTTTGAGACAGAGTCTTGCTCTGTCGCCCAGGCTGGAGTGCAGTGACGCAATCTCGGCTCACTGCAACCTCCGCCTCCCGGGTTCAAGTGATCCTCGTGCCTCAGCCTCCCGAGTAGCTGGGATTCCAGGTGCGTGCCACCACGCCTGGCTAATCTTTTTTTTTTTTTTTTTAAAGTAGAGACAGGGTTTTGCCATGTTGGGCAGGCTGGTCTCGAACTCCTGACCTCAGGAGATCCGCCCTCCTTGGCCTCCCAAAGTGCTGGGATTACAGGCATGAGCCACCGTGCCCAGCCTATTGTAAGGTTTTAGTTTTTTTTTTCCAAATCCTTATTTGGTTTATCAAATTCACATTTTATTTCTAAAACATTACAGTTCAGAAGAATTGCAGTTTCAATCCCACGGCACCATGACAGCACATATGGCTAGCTGAGGGAGTGGTATATGAAGTGTATTGTGAAAAGTGAAAGTCATGCTGGGCACTGTGGCACATGCTTACAGTCTCAGACATGCGGGAGGATTGCTTGAGCTAGTTCAAGACCAGCCTGGACAACGTAGCAAGTTTGCATCTCTTTAAAAAAAAATAAAGCCAAGTGTGGTGGCTCATGCCTGTAATCTCAGCACTTTGGGAGGCTGAGGTGGGCAGATCACAAGGTCAGGAGTTCGAGACCAGCCTGGCCAACATGGTGAAATCCCGTCTCTACTAAAAATATAAAAATTAGCCAAGCATGATGTTGCATGCCTGTAATCACAGCTACTCAGGAGGCTGAGGCAGGAGAATCCCTTGAACTCAGGAGGCAAAGGTTGCAGCGAGCTGAGATCACACCACTGCTCTCCAGCCTGGGTGACAGAGCCAGACTCCGTCTCAAAAAGATAAATAAATAAATAAAATAAAATAAAATAAAAATAGTATAGGTTCCCAGTCACAAAATACAAATTATGAAAGCTTTTTAACAAACAACGGAAAAAAACAAAATAAGTGTAAATGATTCTAAAATAAGAGCCAAAACTAACTGGAGCAAGTTGTATTGTTGTCATAAAAGTTGCCTTAAAAGAAAAAAAAAAGCCCAAATCAAGGCAGAGGTTCCAGTGAGCCGAGATCACACCACTGCACTCCAGCCTGGGCAACAGAGCAAGACTCCATCTCAAAAAAAAAAAAGGATAATCCCAACTCATTGGTGACATGTGATTTTGATTGGTTCAAAATTTAAAAAGTGACTGAAAAGCATGGTTTATTTGTTGAAAAACCAACCTTAGGCCAGGCGCGGTGGCTGACACCTGTAATCATAGCACTTTGGGAAGCTGAGGTGGGCGGATCATGAGGTAAAGAGATCGAGACCATCCTGGTCAACATAGGAAACCCTGTCTCTACTAAAAATACAAAAATTAGCTGGGCGTGTTGGCGCACGCCTGTAGTGTAGTCCCAGCTACTCGGGAGTCTGAGGCAGGAGAATTGCTTGAACCTGGGAGGCAGAGGTTGCAGTGAGCCGAGATTGCGCCACTGCACTCCAGGCTGGCGCCTGGTGACGGAGCAAGACTGTCTCATCACAAGGTCAAGAGATCAAGACCATCCTGGTCAACATGGTGAAACCCTGTCTCTACTAAAAATACAAAAAATCAGCTGGGCATGGTGGCGCGTGCCTGTAATCCCAGCTACTCAGGAGGCTGAGGCAGGAGAATTGCCTGAACCCAGGAGGCGGAGGTTGCGGTGAGCCAAGATCACGCAAAGACTCTGTCTCAAAAAAAAAAAAAGAAAAACCAACCTTGGAATTTAAGCAATTCAAGTCACATTTTAAAATCTGTTCTATGTACACTAATACAAGAAAACACCTATTTGAAAATTTTCATTTATTCTCCTTTTCAGCAGAGATTTAAAAAAATAACTCTTACCAAAAAAATTTTGTGTGACTTTTTAGTAGTAATGATCTTTTGTGAAGTTTATCTGATTTAATCACAGCTTTTGTTTATAGTTAATGTAACATGCTACAGCCAGTAACCGTGTTTCGTTTGAAATCTGTGTCATAGCAGTATAAATAGTCACTGTAAACTGAGCAAGTTCAAGGACACTCCTAAACCTAATATCCTGCCTTCCCCTCCTCACTTACTGACACAGCCTTCACCAAGGTGAGTTTCTCAGCAGTTTTTCACGGCCTCTTTCTTGCTCTCCTTGCCTCTCTTCAGATACTCTCCCCAGGCGCTTTATGAGCCCTGCACTCAGGATGTTGTGATGTTCCTTGTCGTGATGTTGTGCAACCAGAACTACATCCGAAACCCATATTTGGTGGCCAAACTTGTAGAAGTCATGTTTATGACCAACCCTGCTGTTCAGCCACGAACCCAGAAGTTTTTTGAAATGATTGAGAACCATCCTCTCTCTACCAAGTTGTTGGTACCTTCCCTGATGAAGTTTTATACAGGTAGGTTGCTGGGACACAGTATAGCACATGGCAGGCCAACTTAGGCAAGGTCTTCTAAAGTCGGTGTCTGGTGTTGCTGTCAGCCTGTTACCTACTATCCTGACATGTGTATAACCTACTAACCTACAGCCTGCAGAGGATGTACTTTTAGTTCTTCTTCCCCTGAGTAGTTGGGAGTAGGACAGCCATTCCACGTACTGGTCTCTGATGATTCAGCAGGAGCCATTTCATCGAGACTCAATTGGTATCAACCACACAAGTTCGTGGTGTTATCTGAGTGGAATTATCTGGTTCATTTTACCTTTGAACTTAAAGCATTTGTTTTCTAACACTACAGTTTCCAAAGTGTGGGTATAAGAGGGAGCTTGTTAAAAATGCATATTCTTGGGCCAGGTGCAGTGACTGACGCCTGTAATCCCAGCACTTTGGGAGGCCGAGGCGATAGATCACAAGGTCAGGAGTTTGAGACCAGCCTGGCCAATATGGAGAAACCCTGTCTCTACTAACAATACAAAAAAAAAAAAAAAAATGGTCGGGTGTGGTAGCACATGCCTGTAATCCCAGCTACTCAGGAGGCTGAGGCAGGAGAATCACTTGAACCCAGGAGGCAGAGGTTGTGGTGAGCCAAGATCTTGCCATTGCACTCCAGCCTGGGCAACAAGAGCAAAACTCCCGCCCCCCAAGAAAAAAATGTATGTTCTTGGACCCCACTTAAACCAATGGAATCAGGATTTCTGGGGGGATCTTAGGAGCATTCATTTGAGCATTCAGTTGTTCAACACATATTTATTGAGCATCTTGAGCATCTACTATTTGTCAGGCACTATTCTAGGAGCTGAATTACACTGTTTTTTTTTTTGTTTGTTT